GGCGTGGTAGAAGATCTGAGGGGACTGTGTTTCTCTTCAAAAGCCCCAATACCCAGCCGTGGTCAGAGCTGATTTTGGTATTGCTCATATTCACTCTTCTTTTATTATGTTTCAGATGAAAAATTTGATTTAGAGGAAATGATGCATAGACACGGATGGGGATGGGGTGGTGCAAGTTTATACTTTCCTTTAGTATGTTTCTGCCACTGGCTGGGATATAAACTCCCCTACTAATTGTGCATAACATGGTGGCAATTAAAGCTTGAAGTAAAAAACACAAATCATCTCTCCCTTATGGCATCTTTGTACCAATTTAATGTATCATTTTAGCTGATATAGTTGAACATTTAAGAGCGATTTGGTTATGGATTGAGGACCCAAAAGCAGAGACAGGCAGGCAGAGGTGAATTTTTAGAAGATTTAGTGATGAGAACTAAAACAAAGTCCAAAACCACAGGCAACAAGAGTCCAAAATCCAAATGAAAACAAAGTCCAAAAACAAACGAGAAACCAGGAGTCCAAAAATTCAAAGATCTAAAAAAAAAAAACATGATAACACAAGTCAAACGTTACCAGAAAGCTAGGAGTCAACAGGGGAAGAAGTGTAACCAGGAGGAAGGCTCAGAGAGAGTAGTTGGAGGAAGACTGAGGAGGTTAGACGAGGACCCAGCAAAGAGGAGCTGAAGAGAGAGAGCTTTTAATGGAGACAGAGACAAAGAGAGGGCTAATGAGCAGATTGGGAACAGGTGAGCACAGAGCAGAAACAAAACAGGAGCTAAGGAAAAAGGAGAACACAAGAGGGCAGCAGAGGGGAACAAATAAAAAAAACCTAGAAAGCTGAAAATAACCACAAGACACAACAAAAGAATTAAACCACTAAGAATATAAAACATGGAGCAAAGTAAAACTGAAAACTTAAAAGAAAAACATAACAGAGCCAAGACTGAAACAGTAACTAAGAATAAACCAAAGAACACAATAAACTAAGTATTAAACCATAAAAAAAAAAACTATAAAACAAAGAGCAAAGTAAAACTGAACATCAAAAGAAAAACATCACAGAAACAGAAACCTAACAGCCAGACCCAAGCGAGATGTCAGGGTCTTTTGGAATCGACTGAGCCTTCGGTCAACGTTGTGTTCAACTACCACCTCCTGGAGATTCTCTCAGATTCCTAGGGAGGCTGGAGAGATAGAGTCTTAGTGGCCATGTTCTCTGCCTCCATTGTTGATGCTGTCGCCCATAGCTGTGGTCATAAGGTCTGTGGTGCCTGTCGTAGTGGCAATCCCCGAACCCACCCGCAGTAAGGGACGATGTCAAGCTGAAGGAGTTCTGTCAAGCCTGGCTGGCTTGTGTGACTCCTGAGGCAGCAAGCAGGTATTGTGAGGCCCACTGTAAAGAGAGAGCTGAGTGAAAAGGTAAAGCTCTTGATTTACGTGCAGTCTACATTCCCACCCTCACCTGTGGTCATGCAATCTGCATCATTACACAAGAACAAGATCTCGGATTCAAACAGCTGAAAGGAGCTTTCTGCACAGGCTGGCTGGACACTCCCTTAGCACGCCTCCCTCGGGATGCACACCAAGCGCATCATATAGGATGCGATAAAAAAAAAACTGTTACAAAAGGGGAGATAGCAGTTACGGAGAATTGGTGATGCTGGGAGTGATCAAAAATGTGTCAATTAATTTCGACTGGTATCCCAAGGAACTGCCATAATGTAATAGTCCATAAAGCTCTTCAATAACCTTCAAAACTCTATACATGTGAGAGCAAATACAAACCTCTGCTTATAAGAAACTGTGAGCTGAGTTTGCTGAACAACTTAGCCGTTTCCCAAATATCAAGTAGGACATCTGCTTATTATGTTTTGAACACCAAAAAAACGTAATCATCCTGAAAAGCCACATCCATCGATGAGAAAGGAGCCTCTGTGGATCGTCTTTAAAAAAAATTCTACATGTCCAAGATCTGGGGAAAAAACATGGCAAGTCTGCAATTAGTTTAAATAAAACATTGATGGGGGTGAAAGTACTTTTATTTGAATTATTATCTTAACAAATACATAGGAATCTAGTTTGGAGTCTGGTTTTGCCCTAAATATGACTTTGATTTTATTTTTGGCTCAGTTCTTTGCTTCCTCTGTTGTTTCTTTCATCTTTTTTCTTCTCTCAGCAGCAGAAAGTAAGCTTCAGTGTTAGTAGCTACAGTTGCTAGTAAATACAGAAGGCCCTCAGGCTTTATCCAGACACAGATCCTCAAGAGAAATGTATGAAAACAAATGGTTTGCCTCAATGATGGTGACTGACATTTTGAAAAACTGCATCTTGTAGTCAGATTCACAGGCCTGGTCTCTCAGCTGAGCACCAATAAATTATTTCAGGAAACAGCTCAATGTGTGTGCTGGCACTATCGTTTCCATGCTTGAAAGTCAGCCTGATGTACGCTGGTAACCAACAGCTTGTGAGTCCCATCGTGTCCTCGTGTGAAGAGGATGTTGAGAGGTTAAACAGATTCACATTCAAGCTGTCCAAGGACAGCCTGCTGGGAAGGTCTTTGCTTAATTTCTCGTCCTGCTGCTTTGTGATTGGCTGTTTGCCACAATTTAAAGTGAAGTCAAACTTTGAAAATGTGTCTGCCTGTCTCTTCATCATCTATCTAGTGCAGAAAACTGGAAATATAAGAGAAATAAAATCTGTGTTTATTTAAAAGTTTATATAAAGTCGGTGACACATTGACTCGACTTGCTGTTTCTCCCCTTAACTTTTCTAACTTTGTGACACTTGACATGTTAATGTACTTTAATATCATGTCTGGTCACAAATCTTAAGTTTGGTTTGGGTGTTGACCAAGATTACATCCTACTAACACCTGAATATTCTTTAATTTAAATCTTTGTCTTGTTGATTTTGCTGTATGTTTAGGGTTGTCAGCCCTGTGGAACGTGAACTCCTGTTCAGAGATTCAACCTTATATACTATAACACAGGGGTCACCAACTTTTTTAAGGCTGAAGGCTACTTTATGGGTACTGAGTCATAGGACGGGCTACCAATGACCTGTGAACTAGAGGAGTCGGCGTTCACCTGAACTTCATAGATAATAAACATATTTCTATTGTTTCTTTTCATTTTTATTTTGCTTTTAAATATTCTCATTATAAAATCCATATAAATCCTCAAATGTTCTAATTTATTGATATGATAAAATGCTTTATAAATGTTTCAAAATAAGAGCTTCAGTAAAAAATAACATTTCAGATTTAATCCACTGGTGAATTGTTCTGTTTTCAAAAGATGCTGAGGGCACCCCATGTTGTCCTTGAGGGCCCCTTGGTGCCCACGGGCACCACGTTGGTGACCCCTGCTATAACAGTTATGTAAGGCACATTTAAAAAACACTCAAGAACAAGAAAATGAAGAGGGACATAGCAGATATAACTAACTAAGCCTGAAGATGTCCATGGCAGAGGCTTTACTGAACAGGAACGAAATGTGCAAACCAAGCATCAGAGAGGAGGCTGGTAGCCAAGAAAAGTCGACTCTCGTCAGTCGAGACTTTTCTGGAAGATTTTTTTAAATGATCCAAATTTATATTTTGTATAGTTAACCATAAAACTAGGCAAAGCACCTATCATTAAAATTATCTATCCAGGTTATTGGCCACTTTCTGTTGTTTAATTGGCTGGATTAATAATTACTTTTGACAGAACTTTCAACTGCTGGATATAATCAACTTTATTTTTACAAAGATCTTCCAGGACACACCAATCTTCTTGTCCACTTTTTTCTTCAATCCAATCTGTCTTTTCAGATTCCTGCACCCAAGCTTTGATACACTTTTACTTTACAGTAAATAATATTGAGAAACTGCGTCAAAAGTTGCTTGACTTTTTCACCAGGAAAATACCTAAAGAAAACCAGTCATAATTTTTTCTTCTAATGAAACTCCCGGCAGTGCTTAATAGTACACAAACAAAGCTATGCGATATATTCATAATGTTCTAATGTGTATTATTTATTTTTATATGTGGGAGGGGAAAAATTTAACCTGGCTGGAGCATTCAAAGCGCATTGACCTCTTTATGAAGTGCTTGTTATAGACTCTAGAAAAGAATTAATTTAATGGGACGGTGCAGTGTAGGCCCCATTTTGTGTAGAGTAAGTATTTTTCCTTAATAGTGTCTCTTTTTCTTGCTTTATTTTTACTTTTTTTCTTGAAGTAGTTTCTAAATTGATACCTTCACACTTTAACTTTAGTAAAAAGCTTTAGTTGACTCTCAAAATTCTAGAGTGTTTTTAAACAGTAGCATTATACTTCTACTTGAATGGATCTGCATATTAATCAGCACAGGGGATGGCTTATCTTTGCAGGAAACAGCTGATCAACAGGTAAATCCCATTCTCAGACACAGTGGAAGCAAACTAAAAGTTCATGACATCGACAAGCATACATTTACAAGAGACCAACCTTATAAGACTAAGGTAACAGAATTAAACACTGATAGTAAATTCCTTAGAATAAGATCTATGATTTAGTGCTGCCATCTGCTGGTAGGAAAGTTACAAGGGTAATCCCTCTTTATCCGGTTTTGGGTGCAAAACTCTCTAAATCAGTCATCTGAATGTAAGAACTAGATGTTGATCTAGCAAAAAAAAAAGTAAGGCAATTTGTGCATGAGATAATAATTTAGCAATGTAATAATGCATCTTGGCATTATATAATCTAAAATCCACCCCCCCCCCCGTGCAATGATGGCATATTTTATGTGTTTCCACCATTAAAAGATTGTCAAATCCTCACCTAAAAAACTAAAGTAGACAAAATGTTATTTTTGGGTAAAGTATGCATGAATTAAGAATTCAACTTTTCAGTTTAGGTGAATTTGTTATAGCTTTCCTCCTGCTTGCACAGGTGATGAAGTGTCTTCAGGTGTCATTAATCAACTGATTACCTTAGCTTGGATAAAAGATACTTTCTTTGGTTCATTCCATAGTGGAGCTCCACTGTGGATGTGCTGCTTCCTGCTGAGTGAGTATGGTTTAATTGAATGTATAGATGGGCTCTTATTTAGAGAAAACAATTTATTTTTACATTTGTTAAGCAGTAAAATGTTCAGGTTATGTTTGAAATGTATATATTTTTTCTTCTTGAAATGCAGCTTCACAATGTCTGGTCGAGGAAAGAAGGCTGCACCCAAATCAAAATCTACAGTGTCCCGTTCCTTAAGAGCAGGAGTCACTTTCCCAGTTGGCCGCATCCATAGACTGCTCAGAAAAGGCAACTATGCCGATAGGATTGGCAACGGTGCTGCAGTGTATCTCGCTGCAGTATTGGAGTACCTCTGTGCTGAATTACTGGAATTGGCTGGAAATGCAAGCTCTGACAACAAGAAGCAACGTATTGCTCCACGCCACATCTTGTTAGCTGTGAAGAATGATGAGGAGCTCAAAGAGCTACTGGCAGGGGTCACCTTCTCAGAAGGTGGTGTGATTCCAAACATCCATGCACAGCTTCTCCCGAAGAGGACCAAAGCTGCAAAGGAAGATGCACCGTCAAAAGATGTCCAATCTCAAGAATTCTAACTCTCTCTGCAACTTATAGGGGAGGGTTAAAGACTTCTTTTTTTAATGCTCTTAAACTGATATCAATCTTAAACATTAAAGTTTGACATGAATTTAACATTGACTTGCTTTACTGATTTTTAGTGCTCTTAACATGTTAGAAATGGAACTATTTACATGTGTACCAATAGGAAGGTAAGCATTTAAACTGTTGTGGCTTATTTAGAAAACTCACTTTATGGGTTTTAAATGTTTAAAGTAGAAAGTTGACATCCTCTATGGAAGATGGGCAAAAAAGCAGCATTGCTGTTTAGAGTGCTTATCTAACCTACTTATGAAAAGTTTTTTACTCCTAACTTAAATCAGAATGGCTCTCCAATTGGGAATTTACAGCATTTCTGACTTGCTGGAAATCTAATTTTCCACTGGCACTTGAAATCTAACCTTCCTACAAAATGACCAATAACTTTAAAAGCTTGAAATGTGTAAAGCTGTTTTCTGATCAATCTGCATATCCCACAGCTAGTTACCCACGGGTGCATTTTCGTTTCAGTTTATATAGCGCCAATTCACAACACAAGTCATTTCAAGGCACTTTACAGTTCAACCAGATCATACAGTCAAATTGATTCAAAGTTTTTTCTATCTAAGGAAAACCAGTTGATTGCATTGACTCAATTGCAATCCCTCACACTAAGCAAACTTGTAGCGACCGTGGAGAGGGGAAAAACTCCCTTTATCAGGAAGAAACCTTAAGGCAGACGAGCACCAAGCCAGCTCCCATGTCAGGATGAAGAGAGCACATCCAGCCAGCCACGGTCATTTCTTGCGGTATTTTTGAATTTGTGAGTGCAAAACCTTTCATATAACCGAACAGGGGATTTTTGCTAGAGTGATCAAGTATGGCAAGTCATTGTAACATCAGACTAGACACTTGCCATTTTTTGTTGTAGTCCACAAGATATAACTACTACCGGATAGCCTTGAAATTATGTAACATTTCTCAGGGTCTCCCTAATGGAGATTGTTAGGGCTAGCCTAAGCAATCTAAAAATAAAATGCTGTTTGCCAACATGGCACTGAAATCTGATGTCTTAAGGCTGGATAATATCCAGATATGTTTTCACAAGTAGACCATCATGGCTATTGGCAAAAGGTAATTATGTGTTAAAACTAATTTGATGTGGCTTGGGGAATAGAAATTATGCACTGGACACAAAAGGGGCGGGGACAACAACACACCAAACACAACATGGACACGTAGAAAATACCTTGAAAAAACCTGTGGATATTACACAATATTATTCAGAGCTATATGTAGTTTAGCTGCAGCTTAGTAATATGTATAACTGTGTATCCATATATACCTGATCAAATGCATGTGGTGGGTATGAATAATTGTGCTTCTGTAAATACTGTTAAGGATTTTATATCTTGACCTTGCTCCTTTTCTAAAGCATTTTCTCTGATTTTTTGTAAAATATATTATAGTTGATGTTGGATACAGATTTTTTCCATTTATGTCACACATTACTTTTTCAGCTATGTCGACTATTCACTTATTAAAAATTTGCTTTTCAGTGTTTCTTTTAATGTGATGCCAAAAAGTGAGTTGTAATTTTGATGTGTTTTATTCTTCATACAATTTTTATTTCTTTACTTTTCCTTTTTTTTTTACTTTTTTATACCTGATAAGGACACCGGTGCAGAGCCGTAGCCAGAGAATTTTAATGAGGGCGGCCAGGCAATAACCAATGTAAATTGAGGGTTGGCCGAAAATAGGCACTAGAACCTCAGGGTCAATTTACAATTCAATTTCAATTCAGTTTATTTGTATTGTGCCAATTCACAACACATGTCATCTCATACGCATATACTGTTCCAAAATGAAAATGAACAACCACAACATCTATATTTTATAAATAAAGACTAAACTTTCCGACAGCCTTTGCTAACAAATGTATGCATATATTTAAACATCCATGGCCGTCTAAAGTAAAGGTGTAGAGCACAAAATTATTTCAAGTTTGAGTTCTTAGGTGAAATTTTTAATCACTGTCTCTACTTAACTACTTTTATCATCAATCGTTCTACATAAATTAGTATTTACATGTAATATCTATTTTTTATGGATTACTTATTATTAAAGTAGTTATTTATCTCTGATTTCACTGAAGACTCATATGTGACTTGCAGATGAATATTTATCCCATGAGACAAAGTCTAGTTCTGAAAAGAGCATGAATCTGTATTTATCATGTTTAATATTATTATATTGATGCGATATTTAACTAGTCTTTTTGTTGTTAAGTAACTGTTAAAATATGAAAGATTGAAATGTTAAATAAGTTGGAACATTCCACTTGAGAGTATTACTGCTGCCACCATTTCTATCAAGGGCTGGTTATACTCCCTGCAGCAGTGTGTCGCAGTGAGCTTGACATTTTTGATTTATGCTCAATTTTGAGCGTGGTCTGTGCTAAACGCTGTGGGTCTAGATACAGCCGAGGCGATGAGGAAGTGGGGGCGAGTTTGTCTGACAACGGAGGGACAGGACGGCAAAAAAGAGGGGAGATCCAGGTGGAAAAAGGGTCCCAGCGTTCTCGCGCACTTCGCTCTTCTAACATGTCCAACTTCACGAGTTGTTTTCAACAATTGCGGTCATAGAAACAAAACAACCCTAAGCAAAAAGTAGTATACTTGAAGTAAATTCTATTAAGAATACTTAAGTATAAGTTTAGAAAGTATACCGAACAATGTACTTTTAGTGTTCTTGAAGTATTACTAAAGTAATACTTCTTCGAACTAAATTGGGACATTTTTAAGTTTACTAAAGTATACTTTAAGTATACTTTAGTAAACAATAAAGTAAACAATAGTATAGTCAAGTACACTTCAATAAACTACTTTTTGCTAAGGGAAGAAGGCCTCCTGTCTGCAGCACTGAGCTCACCTACGATTTGGGAGAGGTGCAGCAGCACTTAACCAGAGGGGGCGGGCACGTCTTTTTGTTCACTGCGACAACTACCCGGAGGACCTAGTTTCGAAGTATAAATCAGCCTTTAGAGGGGGAAAAAATAGTAGGGCCATGGCCACCCCTGGTCCCCCATCTAGCTCCGCCCCTAATCTTGTCTTGTTTCAGTCAAGATTTGACATACAGGACCATAAACCTCTGCTGAATACAGAAAGCATTTTCCAGAAACATGACGTCGGGAATGTTTCACCTATGTGTTTAGGCGCAAATATTTCTAAAACTTGACTTTTTTAAAATGTTCTTTTTGATTTTCGTCCGTTGACTATTGTATGATAAATTGCTTGCCATACATGTGCGTTAGCTAAACGTGCAGAGTTTACGTACAGCTACGTGCTGACGTTGGAATAGTGCACAACAAACAGTTGTTGGACTTCAACAGGCTAGCGAAGGAGAGCGTTGGACAAAATAAAAAAATAACACGTTCAGCTGACTCCTCCTTGAGAATGGGATACCGCCGAGAGCTGAATGGTGGGAATATCACAGGCACCGTTTCCCAACAGTAAGCAGAGAGCCCCGGCACGTTTCCTGAGCCGAGCCGCCGAGGCATGTCCATTGCTCGGAGTGTGACGCCTGTTTTTTCCGTCGCTGCTACCGCCGCCGCTGGCTGATGGTTGTGATGTGAGCAGAGTTACGCCACGACAGAGGGTGGGGGAAAAATATCTCTATTCTTCTCCTCACGGAATAATGAACTTGGGGAAACTATTAGGTTTGTGTTACGAAGAAGAAATGCTATAACATTCGGGCCTGGACGTCATTGTTGGACAACTTTAGCAAGCTAGCAAAGCGTTAGCTGGCTTTAATTCACGTTGATGACTTGGCTCTGTAAGCTCCCTCTGCGACCTGTTCGTTTCGGTTGATTGGTTTGGTCCTGTTTATTCCTGCTGGTAACATGTTGACGCGCAGAGGGGCCTGAGAAACAAACAGTACTTCCAGTAATTTAGCGCTTATCTGGCCGTTGATAGAAGGCTAAATAGTGTGGATATTGAATCAGTATAGAAAGCAGTAGGGTTTGCAAAGAAACAAACCATTTTTTAAAATAACATTAACGTACAATTGCACTTTATTAGGTTAGTTTTTGAGAATTGTCGATTGTTTTCCACTAATTGTACCTTTATGGCATCCAAAACAGATAAGTATAGATGTTTATCATACTGTTAAGATTTTTTTCCCCGGTGAATAACCAAAACAGACTCTCTTGGCTTTAAAGCAGGGATATTTTTGACTTTTTTAGTCTTTCTATTCTTTCGATACGGTGTGCCACAGTTGCAAGTTGAAATGTAAACATGAATTTCGAAGAGCAGCATCTAGATTTGTGTAATGTCAAGACAAAAGCCTTTGAGGACGATGATCATCACACTACCAACAGCACAGAAGGGGTCACCCCTCGTATTTTGGAACTGATGACAGACAGTGACTTAGAAAAAGAAACCGGTGTTCCCACAGAGGCCTCTGAAACTTGCCTTATGCCTCAGCTTACTGACAATCTCCACTCCGATGGGGGAGATAAACTACAGAAACAAGACACACTAGAAATTGATGAAGTCAATGGAAATGAAAAGAGTTGTCCTCTGAACACCCCTGCTGTAGATAATCCTTCTGACTTGATCTCATCTAATGATGAGCAGCACACAACTGTTAAGGAGGAGGAGGTGAGCATGAAGGGGGAAAGGGTCATTGATTACCCACAAGCTGTGGAGGTAGGGGACGATTGCGTGGACATGGACATTGGGGTGGATCTAAGCCTCGATGAGAGCGGGGTGCTGGAGAGTGAATCTACAAATGTTACACCAATCTCTGCTAATATTTTGGACTCCAAGTCCAGTCCTCAGGATGTCCCAGCTGGCAGGACAGCAGAAGGCCAGGCAAATGCCAACAAGACATGCAGCACTGAGGCTTCTGTCGCTGATCGGGTTGGACTGTATCCCTTGGTGGAGGAGGGGGGAGAGAAACACAAACTGTGCGGAAAAAGGGTGACATTTCCTTCAGATGACGATATTGTTTCTGGAGCGGTGGAGCCAAAGGATCCCTGGAGACATGGTAATATTTGTCATTTTCTACATGTCTGTATGT